CAACCAGCAAAAAAAACGTCCACAGGCGCAGGGTTCCACTCTTGGACCCCAAGATTGACTCAGATGGACTTAAAATCAGGGGTTCTGCTTTGGTGGGAATGAACCAATTCTGGCATTAAGTCTATTTTGGGGTAGTCAAAAGAGTGGACCGTGCACTGGCGTATTGCCGAAATTTTGCGCACCACTTCACTTGTTCACTTATGTTCACTTAACACCATCAGATCCTGGTTGTTGTAGGGACACCTTGCCCTGCTTGACCGAACGATGTCACAAGAAATTCGTTCGCAACGGTTGGGGCTCATGTAAGGAGCATGCTGTTGAATCCAAGATTCTGACAGTGCCCATTGCTGAATCTCCTCCTCTGCTGGGTGATCCTGCGCAAAATACTCAAGTTGCGACATACAATTCCTCTTTGGCTGGCCTTGGCTGCACAGACTGACGCAAAGTCTCTAGATTACCTCGCTACTTTCCACCAAAAGCACCACCCGCAACATCAACAAGCAGTGTTGCGGCCTCCATGTCGTTCCTGCTTTCAATCTGCTACACCATGTCAGAATCGAAGAAGGATGACATGGCTGTGGGCAAAAAATAGGTACCCCAAATCGAACCGTGGTAAATCGAAGAAGGACTAAAACCTGCGGTCCAATTCCTGGTGGCTTTATTTTGACCCATACCCACATGTTGTTCACAACATAAACTCCATACATCCAAAAACCCAAAATGCCAAGCAGTTCCTACAGATGCGCCCACCTTCATAGCAGCGGTCACCAGCGGCAAAGCTTGCGCCGCACACGCGGGAAGCTGCACTTGTGGGTCTTTGGCGAAGCCACTGAGGGCTGCCAGGCCACACTCCTCGACTTGGCAAACGAGACTTGCGATCGGCGCGATGCAGGAAATGTGTTGCATGGAATGACCCCCAACTGTCCAACTGGTGGTTTCCTTTGAGGTGACCAAAGCCGGGGTTCCATTCCCACATTCCCGACCTATTGCACCAGCAAGGAGACAGGGACAAAATTGGGTGGGTCTGTTTTAAGGGTCAGTTCTTGGTGGTGTTAAACGAAAACCAATTTTGAAAAACCCCTTTGGAGTTTTTGTTTTTTGGCAGGGAATTGGCAAACGAGACCGTGCGGCCCCCAAGTTCCCTGGCCATCAGTCTCCCCTTTTGGCATTGGCCTTCGGTGTGGCTACGCAAAGGATGCATGCCTATTCCTGTGCTTTTCGTACCCTCCTTGAACCTCTACCTGCAAATTAGCGGCGATGGACAAACCCAATATCCGCTAGCCTTAGGAATCAATCCTCTCGCATGAGTACTTACTCTCAAACAGCAGCCATTCGGCTGGCTGCTGTGTTTCTGACATTCTGACTTGCTTGCATTGACGCCGTACACACAAACACAAAGGTGAGTCCTGCACCTGCACCGCTGATGCATGAAGCCGCAATGCAGTAAGCACCAGCCTTGGTACGCGAATGCAAGCAAGTAGCATGCCCAACTGTGAAATGGCTCCCAGTTGATGTCTCCACGCACTGTGGACACTTAAAAGCATTGTGCCAATTGAGGATCCGAAATGTACAAGTTGCCAGCTGGCCAAGTTGCTTGGGGGATCGCAGAGACTTTGACGGAATGCTTGATTAATGCTAGTAGAACCGCGATTGTTTCCCACCCAGACAAAAGACTTTCTCTTCAAGCTCAATCGGGAGTTAATCTAAGGTCCTGCCATGTCGTAGAGGGCTGAGCTGAACACGGGAGGGAAGACTTGGCTTCAGCAATTTAAGCAAGGTTGCTCGAGCGCCCCGAGGTCCAGAGCATGGCGCCTGACTTCTGCGCCACCCTCCTGGACGGAACGCATACGGATTCGATGTTTGCCCAAGGGATGCTCTTTTCCTTCTTCTTTTTCCTGCCGGTTGGCATCCCATCCGAAGGCCATTCCTTGGCAGAAGTGAAAAAACGGGGTGTGGCTCAAAATGAACTAGCTGGTCCAGACTGCGAGACTGCGCCATCTCCTCAGTGAGGTTCCGCAGCGCTGCGCAAGCCCAGGCCTGCAGCTCCGGCTGCTGGTGCTGCCGCAGCACGTCCAGCACCGCTGGAAGGTCAGGCATGAAATCTCTTCGGCGGCGTCCGTTGCTTTGTTTGGAAGTACTGTTGGACCTCCTCTATTAATAGTACTCGCTATCGTAGATTGCTTTTTCCTAATTCAGAATCCCGTGACTGTTTTAGGGGTTCGCTATTGTTGTATTAGCTGAGTTGGCTTCAGGTCAGCTTCGGGGTAGGATCGGGCCCCGGTGCGGGCCTGTGAAAACGCATCTGGCAAACAAAAACCGAGCAGGTCGTGAGGCATGCAGCTGAGGGTGGCCCGGCACCTCTGTGGCTTGGGTCCAAAACTGGTGAGTGACCAAGCCCACGCCCGCAGCTCATCATGATGCTCTTTACACATGCGGCCAAACGATTCTTTGGGCCTCAGCGGACAAGCAGACCGCGCGTTTGTAGCTTGATTTCATGCAAGGACCGTGCTCCACGCTTCACGCCATGGCCTCTTCACATCCAATGTGACAAGGGTCACGCAAAAGGTGACACGTGAAATTCAACCATCCAACGAGTGGCAGTTCAATGCCATGCCATCTTCACCTTGGCTGGTCCTCCGTAAGCGCCAAAGAGCAGCACGCAGCTCGACCTCAGAGCTCAGCAAGCCGGATTGAGTCATGGCTTGAAGCAAACAATTCTCACCTCCATGGGCTGCGGGGCAATCGCATCACAACAGCAAAAGGCGCAGCGTTTGCCAACATTTGCCAGCATTTGCCAATTCTGAGATAGCCTCTGGGACGACGAATCCTTTGGTACTGTGAGCCACCCGCGCCAGCCGCAAATTGAGAGGTGACAAGTGAACTAGGAACATCTCCGAGCATATCGAGCCCCAAAAGAAAAACACCAAGCAGTTGGAATGTGGTAGCACTTGCTGAACGTTACCTGGCTTCACACAGTTCGTTCGTCTGTGCCCCCGACATCCAGCAGGCAAAAAGCTGCTGACAACTGGGCCTCAGCACTTAGCACGCTGAGGAATTTGAAGCACCTGGAAGAAGCATCTCAAGGTTCTCGTCGAGGGCTTAGGATTGAGGTTTACCAAGTGAAGATAACCATGCTACGCAAAATGCGGGGCAGGGAGGCAGGTTTTGCATCCCCGGCATCATCAAGGTTGATCCGGAGAGTCCACATAACATCAGGAGGCTCTGATTGAATTTGGCTGCGTGTGTCTTGTGGGAAACGCGCAAAGCGCCTCGATTTCAAATGTGGACCTCTGCATCCCCGGTCTGCAAATTAGAGCACAGTGCGTCGGCGGCTGGCATAGCAAGCTTCTTGCTCACCCTTCGGAAATACACGCCGTGTGTCAAGCCAGCTTTGCTTCCAGGAATGCAAGCTACTGACCATGAAGCAATCTCAGGTGGCAGCAGCCTGGCGTCGGTGCCTGCGCAAAGAAACGTCAGCCCCCGCGCGACGTCTCATCAACTGCCTCCTCTTCTTGGGCAGGCCGCCAAATAGGGCCAGGCGACTCCAAGCCTTGAATCCGCGTCTGCAAGCAACATTCACGGCAACTCGGGGCGAGGCGTAAGACGGACGGAAGGGCCAGATTTGAGCTGACGCCATGTCAAAGCTGAGTGCATGACTCATTGCGACGTTCTTCGGCTCCTGCAAGGCGTCAGGCGATGTGAACTTCAGATTATACCCAATACTCAGAACGGATCACCCCCGGTGGGGACGCGTTCTTGATTCATCCATCTGAAGTGGACAGTGTGCATGACTCGGGATTGGTGAAACCCTTGCCCGCTCCATCGGTGATTCTGGCTGTGGTGGCGCACGAGGTAGTTGCGGGTGAGGCGGAGCAGGGTGAAGCCGCACGGCCTGTTGGTCCGATGATTTTGTGCAACTTGCAAACCATGTGGACTTGTGGACCTTGCAGGTTGCAAGTTTGACGTGGTGCTTGCTTGTGCCCGAAACGGATGCTACATCAGCCTGCAGAGCCTCTGCAGCAATATCCTTGGCCTGGCGAAGCTCATGTCTACAAAGAATGGCTAAGAATCTTCAGGCGCAACTACTCCAGCACAGGATCACATTCGGCATCCCTTGGGAAAATACACTGCAAATGCTCGAAGTAGTATGAACAAGCTTTTGCCACCGCAAGATCCTTGCACTGTCATGGTGATTTGATACTTCCGTGAAAGTGCCAAAGCTTAAGTGACAACAAGCAAGTGCTTCTGCCCAGCATTTGGTTGGCAAACTCATGCCGCCCCAAAGTCAGAAGTGACCGACTTCAGATCCCTACCAGGCCGCCTCGAACTCAACAGAATTCTCCGAGACCAGTGTCGGATGCTCCACCGTTGGTGGAGGACCTTGCAGGCTTTGTGTGGCGTTGGCTGCTCTCTATCACTCTCGCGATCTCTGCCTCTGTCTGTGGCAGTCTCTGCCTGTCTCTGTCTGTTTCTGTCTGCTTGTCTGTCTCTCTGTTTGTCTGCTAGCCTGCATGGCTGTCTCTCTCTCTTTCTGCCTCTCTCTGTCTGCTGTTGTGTATTCGTGTGTCGTAAATGCCGGCTAGGTCAGCTTAGGGATTCAACACGTCCGCCTGCCTGGATAGCTACTTCCTGAACAACCAAAGTAATGACGCATTTTCGTTTTCCGCTGCCTTCCACGGTCATGCCCGACTTTGCGAGCATGGGGCCAGCCTCAGGCAAGTGCCATGTCTCGAAGCAAACCTCCCATGGACCATGCAGCCTGGCATGTGGTACTGACAGCGGCCCCGCTTGCCCAAAAGTGCACCCGTGACTAAGCACCAGAACCGCAACATCTGCATCGTTTGTAGCCTGCGGCTGAGAATGGTTGAATGCAGGCGCGGCAGGCTTGAACAAGGCACACCATGCACGCCTACGTGGAATAAAACAAAAATGAAGCCACGCACAAGGAGTCCACCACGCCCACGTCTTGGATTCAACCGGTGCTTGGGTCCAAAACTCGCCGCCTTGGCCGCTTCCGCGCCAGGGCGCGCTCCTGGCTCGCGGGCTCGCAATCCAAAGCCTGCAAAGCCTAGGTTTGATGGTGAAACAGAGGGCTTTCCCACGCCTCTAGGCCCGTTTGAAATCCCAAAGCACCAATCCAGACCAAGGGTGAGTCCAGGTGCATGAAACAAAACATCAGCACCTGTGCAATTTCGCAGCTGGAAATCAACATCAATGGCCTGCGCCTAGCCCCCCTCAACCACAGCTCTCATTTATCCCAGCCTTCCATCTTGCTAGAGCTCCTGATTTCTTCGATGAAGCCTGGCAGGCAAGCTCGCATCATCTCGTACCAAAATGACTGCATGACCCCACCCACCACTAACACCGGCCTCAAGTTTCACAGGGTAGCAACGAGTTTCTGGTTAGCTACTAATCTACAATATAGACGCCGACCTTTCATTCGCGCAAGCCAAGCACGGTGCAAGCCAACAGTCAATGAGCCTCCGTCATCTGCGTCTTCAGCATCATCTGGCAGCCTGGAGCGGAAGGAGTGCAACACGCCTCCCTCTGATTGGTGAGGCCAAATTGTGCCCAAGCGACCCCCTAGTGGTGACTGTCACGGCGGTAGTCACGATGGTGCAGAGGATGCAAAGACCAGCAACCTCAGGGCGCATGGGATCACATGAGTAGCTCTCATGAGAATGAGACCTCGAGAGGCATTCGGCATGGACACATCCAGCCCCATAGGTGTCCTTTTAGGGGAAATAGATGGCCCTGGTAGATGATTAAACCACCAGGTAAACCAGGGCCATCTATTTTTCTAGCAAAACAACCAAAAAGGACACCTATGTTCAGCCCTCGCTCGTGACTCGGGCAGGGCCCCTGCCCCACAGATCGGGGGCACGAGCTCCGCTGTGGTGCTGTTCTTTCCCGTGATGGAGTACCAGCTGACCAAACCCTGAGCTGTTGGTCTGCGCTTGCTACCGGGACATATGGCTGTGGCTCAAAAATATGTACCCAAAATGGAACCCTGGTAAATGGAAACTTGGACTACAACCTGCGGTCCCCTGGTAGTTTAATTTTGACCCACACCCATCCATATTATCATATGCAGCTAGGTGCGTAACAAAAAAGTTGCATCTGGGCTTGCGGCAATGTAAGAGAACCAAAAGACGAGCAAGCAAAGACCACCAAGAACCTTGGCAGACTGGAAGCTGGCTCTGCCAACCCAGCACTTCAACACCTACAAGCTTATGCACATCCTTCTACCATTCTACCTTCTGATTGTCAGGCCATTGCATCAACTTGCCTAGCATTTGCTCGCATCCCATGTCTAGCCCTCAGCTTCAGATGCGGGCCTTGCTGACCATGGGCCCGCCCAACTCACCACCAACGTTCCTGCGGCGTACCATCCTGGCCAGTAATCCATGGACGACAGTTCCATGCCATACATCTGCCAATATGTGATATTGCAAGCCGCCAAGGCACATCACGAAAACGGCTAACCCGGCCATAGAAGCCTCATCAGGCACAAAGGTGTCTTAGCAGATCTGTTGCATCAGGCTCCCAATGCTACTGGAACTGCGGAAAAACAACTGCCCCACCCTCCGTGGCGCTCCGTGGCAAACTGATGCCTCAGGGGTGCAAAATGGTGGCACTTGGCGGCCCGCGAAAACGATGACGCTGAAGACAAGCTCTTCCGCACCGCGGATGACGAGTCCTGCTGTATCCCTGGCCGCGTCGCTTGCGGGCGGAGGCAGGGCATGGCGCCAGCACAAGAGGGAGCCACTCGGGAGCCATTCCGAATTCCCTGCCTCCCCGCAGCGATATCTGGATACAACGCCAGCCATTTTGCCGTCTGCCCGCGGACGGCCCACACCCTGGGAAGGGCACGTCTGACTCAAAAACCCACGGTGCCTTTCTCAGTGAACACCTCGTCTCAGCTCCCGAGGAGCTGGCACTGCTGCTACCGTCCAAGGCAGGCCCAGGCCCAGGAACACGTTCACCGAATTGCTGCCTGGCATGGGGTGCTTCATGGATCTTCATGGATCTTCATGGATCTTCATGGATCTTCATGGATCTTCATGGCTTCTGACTTGTTCCTGCGCGTTTGTCCAGTCCCTCCCCGCCGCGGCCCGCTGGCGCTGGCCTGTGACATTGATGATCGCCGCATCGGCGGTTGGGTCCTGCCGTCCGGATGAGCCAGGATAAGCCCTACTGGGGGCCGGATCCAAAAAAACAACATGTACGGGATCGAACAGAAATTATCGACACCCAAGCCTACTGGTCTGCCCACAACCCCCCCCCAAAAAAAAAGCACTCCAATCTCGACATGCACATGTCATGCAGTTCAGCGCTCGTGTTCAATGAGTCAGCAGTCGCATGCGGTGATTGCCCTGCCTCCACCGCAGCATGCCGAGAAGCGAAGAGGTCGGGCATTGACGTTCCTGCCCAGGGAGGACCATTTGGCAAAGCAGTCGAGATAAAAGCAGCTCAGCAACATCTTGACTGAAGCGACTCAAGAACAGCTGCATCACTCGTGTTTTTCCAGTCCTAAAGCAACGAAGGTAATCCCTGTGACCAGGTCGGGAATCTCCAACACCTCGGCCATCACTCGGTGCCGGCTTTACGCGACAAGCGCCCCGGTGCTGGCCTAGAACCTCCAGAATCCAACCCAGGCGGGCGGTCACTCGGTTTTTATCGACTTTTCGAAGGATTTAGATAAACTCACTATCACGATCGACATGGCTGTGGCTTAAAAACAAGTACCAACATGGCGCCTTGGTAAATGGAACCAAAGACAAACACCTCCGTAACCCTAGCTCTTGTAATTTTCAGCCACGCCCACATACTTTCCACTCACTTCCAGGTGCTTTGCGAGAATCACACCGGGCTTTGCCCCCGCAACTCCGACTGGCGGATGTGGCCCTGAGCAGCAGGCGCATCCGAAGATCTCTGCCATGTCGCCGATGATTGCCGTCAGGACTCAGCGATCCATACACTTCTATTTGCAATTCTTCGCCCCCGAGAAAAACGGAAAAATATTTCCGGTAGTGATAGATTCCCTTTCAAACCAACAAGGGAAAATAAACACATATTCTTAAGCAAATGGAAGTAAGTAGACAAGCAAACAAGCTTTGCTTCAAGAAATGTTGACCTTGCAAATGTAGTGTTGTAGCTGGTTCATTGGATCCACAAGTGATACACGTGCTGGCAGGCTGCCCAGATGTTCCATGGGACTGAGGCTGCTGCAAGCGATGTAGGCCAACGAGCCAAAGAAGGTAACCTGCGCACAGGTCATGTATGAGGTCGTCAGCTCCTTATCTCCTGCGTGTGCAGTGAAGGCTTGGGCTCTTTTTCCGGTGGTCTGGCAAGGGGAATTCAGGATCCCGAGCCATGGGTCTGCGTCTGAGTCTAGTCTTGTGACTTCCAGGGAAGCGCCTCCAAAACTACCATCCTCTTTTTTTCAACCTGGTTGCCCTCCAAAGGTGACACCACACATCGGGAAGAGAAACCATGCACCCTTGGCGCCACAGTGCGCCGCCATGTATGCATCTAGTGCAGCTGGCAAATGCATGTTCAAGCTCCGCGTGATTCTCCCAGTTGCTTGCAACCCTTCCGCTGCAGACATGAACACCATGAACTGTGGTCTTCTGAGCCCTGCGGCGGCGGGGCATCCCAAAGCGCTCAGGGCCAAACCCATCCGCCCAGGAAGACTCTTGGCGGCACGGGGAAGAAAAACCTCGGGGAAAGGTTTCGATGCAACCTGTCACACGATGGATGGATCGACCGATCGAGCTCAAGCTGGGGCTATGACAGCTTCCAAGGCATGCTCACCACGTGGAAGATGATCTCATCCCAAGATGCCTGCGCAGAAAGAAACGCCTTGAGCCGTCCGTGAATGTATGCCATGTTGTTTTCAAGAAGCCATGCCATACATGCACGGTCATGAGCTGTTGCATCTACAGTGGTTCGGCAGCCTCGGAACAACCGGCAACGAGAACAGATCGCCGAGGCGTGCAAAGCTCAAATGCTCTGCATGTCCTTCAGGATCTCCAGCGCAAAAAATGCAAGCTGTTTTGCTCCATGTCTGATCTCGCACATCTTGTGCGAAATCTGAGCGCGGTGGTAGCTGAAAATCTCTCTACCCAGCAATGTGCACAGCCAACGATGTTGAAACGGTATGGCAAAGTCATTCCACGGACGCAGCAGTGACGCAAACCAACCAGCAAGGGAAGCACCTTTGCTTCCCGTCGGTTCTGCTTGCATCCTGCGCTTGGATGTTGGGTTCATAATAACGCTGTACATGTACATTCGGGCTGCTGGGCAAACAAGCGCAGCTCCCAAAGAGTCACTCCGAGTCTCTTTGTGAGGGGCCAAATGTCTGACTCTGCCGATTCCGCCCTACCCCGAGATCAGACTTCGCTCGCTTTCTCCGCGAAGCGAGATTGACTGTGCAAAGCCTTGGAGTGGGAAATATACAACTCCGCTGGCACGACACGCAGGGTTTGCACATCTGCGCCGCGTTTGCAGGACTGTATGTTTGGGGATGGTCGTTAAACGCAACTAGTTCCATGCCTCTTGGGCTTCTCGAAACTCAAAAGGCTGTGCCGATTCGCAGGTTCGCAGTCGCACAATGCAAAAGCTCGTGCCCACTGCTCAACTCCACCTAGCAAAAGTCAGCAGTGCAGCGCACGCTGGACTGCACCCCGGGTGCGCAGTCGACGGGCTTGTTGGCGCAAGGCCAAGACGGTCAGTGGCTTTCGTCCGTGCCTTCCTGGCCGAGAGCGGCGAAGATTTTGGCGACATGGCCATGGGTCAAAATCCCGCACCCCCAGTGAACATCCCAATCCCCACTAAAATAGACTAAAATGGGTGGTGCACCTACCCCAAAATGGTACCATTGGTTTTTGATGGCCACATGTCCGCCCTCCAGTGCAATTCAACTGCAGTGATCCTGATGGGTGTCGCCGTTGTCCGTGCTGGACTGGATGAGGCTGGTGAGATACTTCTCCTTGGCTTCCGCACTCTTCTGCAAGAGGTGGGCCAATTGTTCGAGCTAGCACCCCCTGGCATGACTCAGTCAAACACATTGGTTAGGGACAAAGCGCAACGATGCATTGAGGGTATGCCTACTTTCCAAGGGCCGCCTATGTCCAGCCACCCCCAGAACTGTGGCACCGAAAAGGGGACTCCAGCGAAATATTTTTCATGGTCGGAACCTGCCGTGGTACGTGAGCCACACAAAATCCATGGCTGAGTGCGAGATGGTTCAGCATTCAAAACAGTGTGGCAGGTTGTGCAATGCCTCAGTAGATGCTGGCAACATTTGGCAACATTGGTGTTGAGTTGGATTCCTGTTGGGTTTCATAGCCCGTCTCCGGCTCCATGCGTCGGCACGGGCATCAAAGTGCTGTAAAATACATGCAAAAAATGCAACTCACTTGCGACTTTAAAAGGGGTTGCTAGTATCTGTTTTTGATGGTTGATTTTGGGAAATATCGACAAATCCTTTTTTTTTTTAATGGCCAGCCGGCTGCATTCCCAGCATTCTCGACATCTCTGGTATTTTCTGTGTTACGTCAATTTTGCGTGTATGAAAGTCTTGAAATGTTGGATGCGAAGCTTGGGTCTGTTCCTATACGTTGTGTGGTTGCATCCCGTGCATTTCCAGCATTCCCAGCATCTGGGACATGTTTCCTGACTGAAAAATAGGAAAATGCCAAGAAGGCCTTGTTGTGGCACTTTCAGACTTCCACGAAGAAAGAAAAAAGGTCTTAAAGTCCCTTGCACCCCACTGGCGTCGGCGGATCGCGTAGCGATTTCAATATGTACCCAAAATAGAATCCTGGTAGATTTAAACCTGCGGTCCGATTCCTGGTGCAAAGTTTTGACATGTTTTGACCCATACCCAACTTGCCCCAAGTTTCCACATCCTCCAGCTGGTGATCGCCAAGCTGTTCCAAGGGAGCCACGGAGCCTTGCGGGAAAAGGGTGGCAAAGGCAAAATGGCTGGCTCAAGGAGATGAAGTGCATCTGGGGTGAATCGTAATATTTCACCAGCATGAACCAAGGTGGTTGGGGGACCTATTCCCCACTTACATCACCATTTGGGGTGAATTCGGTCGTGTGAGGTTGTAATTCACCCAGGTGCAGCGAGCTGGCGCACAGTCTGTGTGCATGTTTTGGATCCGGGCGGCAGCCCGTCTCCTGCAGGTCGCTGCCATCCGGCCACCGCACTTGCTTGCCCTCCTTGAAGACCTGCACGCCCGGCGACAGCTGGATCTCCACGCCTAGCGGGGCCACCAAAAAAACAAACAAAACAAAAGCAAGCAGAAGGACATGGCAAACGAAGACGCGAACAACACCGCACAAAGACGCAGACACATACGCGCAAGCATACAAACATGAACACCCAAACGCTCGCCACAGCCCCCAAACACACAAACACACAAAAGCAAAAAAGCAGACAGAAAACAATATTCAAACAAACACAAACAAACAAACAAACAAGCAAGCAAGCAAGCAAGCAAGTAAGCAAGGCAGGCAGGCAGGCAGGCAGGCAGGCAGGCAGGCAGGCAAGCAAGCAAGCAAGCAAGCAAGCAAGCATATACACATACCACAAGCACACAGGTATAAACACAAATACAAACAAGTACAATATACACTTTGACTTCGAACGGTTTGGATTGGTCCAGTGCCCAACTTTGACGCATAATAACTTGTCCATAGGCTGCTTCCTCATTGCCGTGTCTTCGAAAGTTGCCATTTCTACGACGAGACTTTGCTCATGCCCCTCTGAAGCCGAGATGCGAAAGTTTCCTTTACCATCCTTGGCGCAGGCGGCACACTATGCAACACCGGAGTTGCCAAAACAGGCCGTCGGCGGCTGTCATTCGCTTGCCAAGCTTCAGGTGACTTGCTGATGGCCCCTTTCCGTCGCCTGTGCCCGACCACTGGCTGAATCACTCTGCTGCAACTCTTTGCGGAAAGCATGCTGCAGGCAGTATTGTAGCACCCTGCGTGCGTGCGTGCATGCATGCATGCGTGCATGCGTGCGTGCGTGCGTGCGTGCGTGCGTGCGAGCGTGTGTGTGTGTGTGTGTGTGTATGCATAGCTAGCTGCGGCAAAGCTTCTCGTAGCATCTGATCACCTTGGTGCCATGCTTGCGCACCCAGCAACCCGAGGAACAACACACATGCTCACTGTTGCCAGCCATGGCACTAAGTGCGACAAGTAGTTCAGATCCACGACTGTCCCGTTCCTGGACACCAAGGGATTGCCCTCACCTCAGGAAGAACTCCTGCTGACTCGGACAAAAGGCACAACGTACAAAGCAAGCCAAGCAAAGCTGGCGACGCGAACTCCGAACAGTTCTAGTTAACATCTAGCCGTGGCTTTCGTTTGCAATCCGCCGCTTCCGCATCAAGGCGCCGTATCTCAGAACATTGAGCAGTGAGTGCATCGTCGATGCACTAGTCACAAACACTCGAGAGCGCCTCGGATGCCGTTGACGCGACATGTCTGCCCGTGAGAACTGTGCCCAAGTCTATGCCATGAGTTGACCCCATATTAATCAACCGAAGTTTATTAATATGGGGTGTCCCCGGGCTTGGTGGAGAATCATCACTTTTGGAGGGGAACACCCCCCCCCTCACCTACAAATAAATTGGTTGATGAAAGTCTGGGGTCAAGATTCTCGATCGATTTGGCCTAGCGGCACCAACTCCTGGTCCAAGCCGGCCACCTTGTGCACCTGAAGAGCTCAAAGCATGCCTTCTTGGACGCATGCGGCGTAAGTGATGTGGTACGAAGGCAGGCTACGATGCCCGCTCAAGCAGCCTAGCTCGTTTTTCATATGGCATGCCCTGCCACAAATCAAATCCCCCCCGCCTCATGCTGCACTTGGGGATGCCAGTCCGAGTCATCACGCAGCACTCGAGTGATGTTCTGTCTCATCTCTGGGGTCAAGCGCTTCAGCGACTTCCTTGGACGCGATGACGCCCGCTTCAACAAAATTCACTGGAGCTACCCAACCCAAAAGCACAAATGCTGTCCGGCCCGGCTTCACAAAAGCAAGGATGGGCTGGGCAACGATTGTCAATACAATGTTGGATCCAGCTTAATTATTGGTGAAAGGAATGCTTGGGGTGGAACCAACTTTTTTCATTACGCAACACATTCCTGAGCAGTTTGCTATGCTCTCTGCGATTTTGTGAGGGGTGGCACCCCATACAGCCGCAGAGCGCCGAATTGCGTTGCAAGCTAGTCTCTCTCTTGAGGTGGTGTCAAAGTCCGACATCCTTGGCCAGCTGTCAAAACAGAAGGCCGAGTGCGTAGAATATGTGGGAACCTAGCCACTGTTTCGTATTGCTGCTTAGTGTCTCAGAGCACACTGACAAGATGTCTGTCTCGTCAACCTGCACTGGCACAGGTACCTGCGAGCGACAGCGAGCACACTTCCGGGAAGCCTAGTGAAGCATCGGTAACAACCTAATGTAAGCTGCAACTGAGTGAGCCTGAGCTCCTGAAGTGGTTGGGCATTCGCAGCTTGATAACCACAGAAACACAACAATCTGTGGATTTGATATCTTTTTGGCTTGGTGAAAGATCCAGTCGTGGCACGAGATGCAGACACATTTCGCACAGACAGAATTCTACACAGTCTTTGTCTTTCATTGCAGGCTGCAGCGCAGAAATGGCCGGGACAGTCTAGCAATTCTGCCTATGAGGGACACAACACTACCGTGGCCTTGATTTGCGTCAGCACTTGGGCCATGACCAAATGGGCAGAGTTTCAAGCCGGCGGTTGACTCTTTACAGACCTGAAGCGAGGACAGCTGTTCACTCCTGGGAGTCTTGGCCGCAGCACATGACGCAGGTACTAGATCTCTCCACGCGAGCAGAAAGAACCGACAAGGCACACAGCAAGGAGCTCTGCAGACAGCGGGCTGGGCTCAGTCGAGAGCTGAGCCTATGGAAGCCCAGTCGCAAGGTCGACAAGCTGCCACGGGGGCGCCGAGTCGAAATGACGGACCTTGCTGGTGTGATACGGAATGAGCGAAGGGAAAGCGACTGATTCTCACACACCATCCAACGGGTGGCTTCCTTCTTTCGGGGACCGAGGCCTGGGATTCCATTTCTCACTCCCTATCGCACCGATCGCAAGCAAGAGGCGTGCTGAAGGTGAGGCGAACGGAAGGCACCGAGCCGGTCGACTCCAAGAAAACTAAAGCGCCACGAGGCAGGCAAGACAGGGAGCCACTGTCTTGCAGAACGCCAGGTCAGACTACACAGCCTGAATTATGTTGCCCGCAACTCTATGAATTCTTCTTGCCAAAATCTATGACTCACAAGCTTTCTATGGAAAGTCTGTGGTGAAGAATTGTGTCCCATTGCGACTAAGTACCATCTGGCGTTGGATGCAGGTGAGCCTTGTCCCAAGAATGTAGTGGGACTCGAGATCAGGTCGTTGAAACCTGCATTTTAACTCTGACTTGCCCAACGTCGGTGGCGGTTGTTTAAGCCCTCTTTGCAAGAATCCCTCAGCTCCGATCGAAATGGCAAATGCAAATGGTTGAACAGCATGTGTCCAGGCAGGATGGCAGGCTGTGAACCAGCTCACTCCAGACAAGCCAAATAGCAAACATGGCAAAACAGCCCAGCCCGGAGAGGGCGCGAATCAATCCCCCTGCCGCCCACCTGTGGACGCCCTACTCGGCCAACCCCCATTTTCCAGATTCGACTGGGGAAGCTGGACCACCAGGACCTCTTTCTTGACGGCAATCTTGTCACTCGCCTCCCCCACCCCAAAGACAAACAGAAGTCAAATAGAAAATCTTTGCGCACCACGTCCGTGGCTGGTGGCGAGTTGGTCTTTGAACTGGGCATGGACGGTGTAGCCATCTCTCGCCTCAGCCACAAAGCAGCAACAGGCTTGGCAGGTGCATTTCCAACCCAAACTTGTGAGTCGTTTACATACTACGAGAGAAGGCATGAGTTCAAACAGGGTGTGGCCAATGCAAGTTTACATCCATGTCCTTTTTGAACGTGCATTGTGTGGCTTTTAGCTGGGAGCATTGCGCGGAATTGCAGGACTAGCTGGTGAAATGAATGCGTGGCATGCCCCGAAGAGTGAGTCAACCAATGCAAATGATAGAGCTGGCCAAAGCTACTGGCCCAATCGAATGCCAGGCGCCATTCCTTGCCATTGTCCGTGCTCGAGCGGCGTACGGAAGTCGGCGGCCCGTCTTCATACCTGAGAAGAGCAGGCAACGGGAAATCAGCAGGATAACCATCGGACACCAACAAACACGGTTTTATGGACGCCAACGCACAACAGGCATAACACCAAGCTGCGTTTGCCAACTGCCAGCTGCCAGAGTGAGCAATGCAAGTGTCGAAGTTCTGCCAAGCTGCTCAACACGCTTGGGCGTTGTTGGCGAGAGGCCTTCCGTGCGAACCACCTCCTGCACACCGGGGCAGCATTTCTTACGAATGTTCCGGCTCGTAAATACGGAAGATCTTGCTGCCATTTCCCCTGCAAATTTATGCAAGCCTCATCAGGCAAAGCTTTATTTTTTCAGTTTGGCATTTCACTGCACTTGAATTCCAGAAATTGCAAAAGCAACTCTTCCCAAGCAGAACAAGGACCCGAAAGTGTCTGCGGACAAACTGCAGCACTCTGTCCGGCGGAGGGGGTGGTCCAGCCGGCCCAGAAAGCACTCGCGTGACCATCTTCCCTTGGCTGCAACCACCGGCTTTTGCACATAGTTGCCTTCTCCACCGGTGATTTTTTTGCAACACAAGAGGGCGACCAAGACCTTGTTGCCAAGCCGGTGCTGTCCAACTAGTTTCTTTGAAAATTGTGGCAATACTGTGGATGGACAACATCCTGCACCACTTGGAAACCATGGTTGAAACCATTGTTTGTTGGTCTTACAGGGGAATCATCTGAAACCAGGGTCTCCGCACGGAGGTGCGAAGCGGATTTCGTCCATCCACGGTAGGGCCCTCGAGCCGGGTACACGAAGAACATCAATCAAGTAACCACGAAGCAAGCCAAGCAGCTGGCCAGACCTTGTCGATCTTGCGTCACTTTGGGATCCGGGGATTTGCAATGCCTCAACAAAAACACAGCCAAGCAACGGAAGTTCCGTCATGCGCTTGCTGACCGAACACTCAATGCTTTGTGCCGGCAGATTGCCCTTGCCTCTCTTTCCGCCAGCGTTTTCATCGTCTGCGTTCATCGGCTATGGTTTTGACCATGTTTGCCTAATGTTGGACTCTCTTTACTGTGACCCCCCCCCTTGGAACAGTGGAACCAGTCGGCGGGGCTCTCTTTAGTGAGATCCTGGCGGTCCGGGAGGGGCAGCACTTACTTTAGTATCGCCAATTCTACTTTAGTATTGCCAAAGCTCCCTCTCAGATCCCCAGTACTTACTTTAGTATTGCCAATTCTACTTTAGTATTGCCGAAGCTCCCTCTCAGATCCCCAGTACGTACTTTAGTATTGCCAGTTCTACTTTAGTATTGCCAAAGCTCCCTCTCAGATCCCCAGTACTTACTTTAGTATTGCCAATTCTACTTTAGTATTGCCAAGGGTCGTTTTTTCAGCAATCCCCCAAAAATGAGTTGGACACTAAGAGGACCCCAAAACAGTCGCATGAAAGAGGATCTGGGCCTCTTGTGGGCACCCCCCTTTGTGTGACTGTTTGCTCGCACTTTTTTGTAAAGAAGTTATCTTACATTTGATGGTTTGGGAACAACTTGCAAAATGTATTTCCTAGATCTCAGGCCTTTAACCTTTGAGCTGGGGAGAGCTTAGGATAAGTCCCCTTCTTTAAAAGTAAAAGGCTGAGGCTTTGGTTTTCAGTCTTCAGCAACCCCGAAACCAGCTGGACACTAAAGAGGACCCCAAAACAATCACATTAAAGAGGATCTGGGCCTCTTGTGGGGACCCCCTTTTGTGTGACTGTGTGCCCGCACTTTTTTGTAAAGAAGTTATCTTAAATTTGACGGATTGGGGACCACTTCAAGAAAACAATTTCCCAATGTTGGCCAGGATTTGGTTGCCTGTTTTGTTGCCCGACTTGTTTGCCAAGTTGTTTGCCCATATTTTTTCCCAGCGTTGTTTCCGGCAAACAACTTTCCACAATAGAGAACCCCTAAAACAGTCACAGGATTCTGAACTAGATGTTTTTTCCCACAATAACGAGTACTATTCATAAAGGAGGTCCAACATTACCTCGGTTTGCACTTCAGCCAGGTCGCTCAAGCTCGTGCAGGCACTTCCCAATCAAGCGCCAACATACAGACATGCCGATGCTCTTCTTCTCCTGCTCAGTGATTCCGTACCTGTTCCAGCCACCACTGGCACGGTTTCTACCCTCTGTTGCCCTCCATGGGCCATATTTGCTTAGCAAGATTGAGCTGTGCCAGCCATGCCTTGTATCCAAATATTTTCAGGTGCCTTGAGCTGCCGTGCCAGCTCTGAGAGCAAGATTCTTTGTCCCGTTCATTTGGACAGCCGCCCTGGCCCCTTTGTAACGTAGGCAAGGTCTGAGCCAAGGCGCTCAGATGCAGCTACCCACTCCTCGGCGAAAAGCACGCAACGTGCCAACGCAACTTCATATACAACCAAGCCGTGGCGACCCTCGGGGCCGCGATCCGACGTGCGGAGCCAAGCTTCCGAGAGCGGCTGCACCAAGCCTCAAGGCTTCAAGGCGAGGCTCATGGCGTCAGCCCTCCCGAGTGCTCACTCCCACGTGCTGCGCTTAGATTACGGGTCCAACCAACGAACAAACAACGAGCATGGGTGAACGTGCTGGCTTGCTTGGAGTGTGCCGCCAGGTGCTCGCGCAGAGTCAGACCAACAACTAAAAAAATGAAGAGTGCCTTTCGGAGTGTGCGTGTTGGGGGTCTTCAAGACTGGCGCTTCCCAAACGTGCAAATCGGAACATGGGCCATTGCCAACACGGAGCACGTGCGTGTACGTGTACCTGGTTGCTTGCATGTTGACCAAGTTCAAGGCGATGGGCATAAAAAGTGTTCGCTTCGGGCATGGTCAGCTTCCGTTGTCATTGCCATCATAGGTGTCCTTTTGGGGCAAATCGATGGGTTTCCCTGGTAGATGATTAAACCCCCAGAGTTTGCCAGGAATCGCCATCCAAAAGCAACCAAACACCTATGACCTGGAATCTGCGGCGGCGTGTCGGATACCTAAGAGAGGATAGAGGATAACCCCCAACCCTTCCGGGTTTGGGGGGGGTCCCCGACGTACCGCGCGGTAATTTGATGACGTTCCACTAAACGTAGTCTTCGGTGTCGCAAAACAGGGGTCTCAGGCTTCAATCCCCCTGCCGGCTCTTTGCTGGGACGTCCGCAAACGAAAACACTGGAAAACCGTGTGTTTTTTGCGGGAAATACTGGGGAGCAAAGGGGAATGCAAGGAAGTGCAAGCAAATGAGGGGAGAAAATAGGAAGTCGACATGACAGGAAAGCAAGGGGAAATGAAAGGGAACCAAAGGGGAACTGAAAGGGACAGAAAGGAAAACAAGGGGAGCGCAGGGGGAATGAAAGGGAAACAAAGGACAAGGAAACCAATCGGCACGACGGGAGATGTAGGGAAATGACTCGCAACGAAAGAACGGGACAAACATGGAAAATGAAGCGGACACACCGAGAAAATGACAAGGACATGAAGAGGGAGGTGAAAGGAATGGAAGGGACATGACCAGGACAACATGGGAAACGTAAAAAGGACATGATGGGGAAATCAAGGAGGAAGCCAGTAGTAAGCAAACAGCTCAGGATCATGGAGGGGCAGTGCCCGGACATCGAGGCAACTCAGGGAGAGAGAGACACAGAGAGAGAGAGAGAGGGAGAGAGAGAGAGAGAGAGACACACAGAGAGCGAGAAAGAGAGAGAGGGAGAGACAGAGACAGAGCCAGAGTCAGAGAAAGAGACAGAGAAAGAGACAGAGAGAGAGAGAGAGAAAGAGCGAGAAAGAGAGACACAGAAAGACAGAGAGAGAGAGAGAGAGAGAGAGAGACAGAGAGAGAGAGAGAGAGAGAGAGAGACAGAGAGAAAGAGCGAGAAAGAGAGAGAGAGAGAGAGCCTCCAGTAGAGAGGTTAGAATAAGGGTACTCTTTTTTCTGTAGAGGGGCGTGGGCGGGAAGGAGACAGGGAGACAGAAAGAGACAGACAAACAGAGAGAGAGAGAGAGAGAGACAGAGAGAGAGAGAGAGAGATAGAGAGAGAGAGGGAGAGAGGCTTGGGGGGATGGGGAGGATGGGGAGCAAAGGGTGGGAGAGAGGACGACAGAACACACGGGGGAGGAGACAAGAGAGAGAGAGGAAGAAGGAGAAAAGAGAGAGGACAATGTCGGCGGACTGAGCCGGAGGCTCTAAAGTTTGATCAAAAGGCCCTGGATACATCGATACATGGGATGACCATTGGATGGAAAACCGCAAAACATGGCCATGAATTTTAATAGGGAACCACCTCAAAAGTGATTGGTGGACATGAATGCCCACCTAAATGATGTCCACCAAAGGGTCCCTTATTCAAAACTCATAGCCACATATATCTGTTTGCCACATGCTTGGCGAACGACGGTTGGTCGATCTGAGCGGATCTCGGGTGAGTTGTGGAGGAATCTGGTGGCCAAAATGGCTGAGGGCCTGATGTTGACGCCATAAAACCCAAAAACACACCCCAGTTTACCAATCTGGGGTGCTTCCGGGTTTAGTGGCGAATCACTTTTGGGGAACAAAGGAAGAAACCCCTGTTTATTGGGGGTGCCTGGGTGTCCAGTTTTTTTTTTTTTTTTTTTTTTTCTGGGTTTAGCGGGGCATCAAACCACTTCTGGAGGGGGACCACTCCCATAATGAGAAACTGGGCTCACTATGGGGTCAACATTAACCCTGCTCGAGCACCTGCGCAAAGTACAAAGAAGTGGATCCTTTCGTGTGTTTCCGGCTGTACGTCATGCAACTCCCGAAATTGCTGACAGCGTTGAAACGCACATTGTCCGCATCTTGAGGTTTACGTCTCTCCGGGGAATGACCAGAAACAAATGAGACTTTGCCACTGCGTCCAGCAGGCATCATGCAAAATGGTGATTGGGATATATGGACACAATGGTTCCTGGCTTTGCTCAGCGCGCAATTTGCTAGGGCACAGCCCGACGTTTCTCTCCTGCACCGTAACTTAATTCTTGACCCCAGCGATGCGCATTTCTGCTTGCTTGCGCCCTGGCCCACACCAACTCCCTCTGTAGTGACAAGTTGCCGACCATCTTCTCGGCAATCCGGCAGGACTCCTCTCCCAAGTAGTGCCTGGCCAAGCTGAAGGCCAGGTTTGCAGAAACATCTTCCAGCCTTACCGCCCCTGATTTCACTCACTCCATGCACCCTGCGCTGCCTGTGGGTGAGCATGTCGTAGTACAAGTTGTCCCAAATATCCGGGATCTTGCTGGTGTCAAACTCCAAGTCACTCTGTGGCTTGTCCTCCTTTGGTGTCTGCTCAGGCTTCTCTGCCTTCTCCGCCTTCTCCGCCTTCTCTGCCTTCTCAGCCTTTTCCGGCTTGTCCGGCTTATCAGGCTTGTCCGGCTTGTTTGGCTTGTCTGGCTTGTCTGGCTTGTCCGGCTTGTCCGGCTTGTCCGGCTTGTCTGACTTGTCCTTTTTCTCCTTCTTTTCCTTCTTGTCCTTCTTCTCTTTCTTTTCCTTCTCAGCCTTGGCACGCAAAGCTGGGTAGTTGCTTGCACCCAGCTCACGTGTCAAGTTGTGCGGGGCCGCTTTATGACCCTGCTTATCCACACCATGTTCAATATCAAGTTGAATGGCTTCTTCAAACTGCATTCCCTGATTCTGCCAAGATTCCTTCACTCGCACGAACCTTGGGGCACGGAGCAGACTCGCCACGTGTCCCGCGGGTTGTTTGCGGAGAATTCTGGGCTACACAAATACAAGCTCGCAACCATATGGCTGCGGGTCAAAAATTGATACCCAAAACGGAACCTCCCTAAATGGCGTCAAGGCCTAGAACCTGCGGTCCGATTCCTGGTGGTTTAATTTTGACCCATAAATGAAGCTGCAGCCCAGTCGCCCATTGTACAACTTCTTCCATCGATTCCTCGGCTGCACGAAAGCTCCGGACATTGGACACAGCTGCTGCGACCAGGGCACTCTTTTCGGCGCAGGTGCAGGTACATACGCTTGTTGGAGTCCTCCATGTCGAAGGGGATCATGGGGTCCTTGGCATTCACTACATCCAGGTTTGCTTTTCGGACTCGCGTTCCAGAAGCCAATTTCTGGCGAGCGTCGGGCACAGACCCTCGAATATCTTGCAGATGCACGGCATCATCATGCGCTTCGTCATCCGGGTCGACTTCTGAGCAAGGGCAAAAGATGGCAAAGAAACTCAGAAACACACGCAACTGAGACACACAAATGCAGCGACAATTGGACAAAGGGACGTGCGCCTGTGAGAAAACCACATTCGTCTGAGGCTGAGGCTGTACTGCTCACATCTCTTCATCGCATCAGATATGCTGCCAATGTACTCCTTGTCACTGGCAAGAAAACTGCATTCCGGCTTGGACCGGTCGTAAAGACTGACTCGGCTAAAGCTCTGCACCCTGCTTGGCCCGTCTCCAAGTCTGTTCCAGTCACACGCAGGGTTGCCCTGTGATGCACGCACACCCATCTGGGAGCGCCGTTCAACTCAACAACAGCACCCGCACTTGCAGGCATCGACGTCCGATTCGGAATATGGCGCCGGCGGCCCCGCCTCAGCTAATTCCCTGATGCGATGCCTTGGTTTTCATTCGAGGCTTTGCATCTAGGGCACGCCGCGTGTGCCTGCGCCCCCTCCCCCAACCATTTTGCAAAGCCTGATTCTTGCCAAGAAGCAGAAGCCCCAAAGGATTGTTGATCTTGTGCACGCACTCCAGCAAACCAGGAGCGGCTGTTGGACAGGCTTTATTGGTCATCTCCTCCGAATTCATGTCCTGCAGCCCGCAAAGCCGGCTCAACCCCAAGGCCTTTCGGCATGGGCCAAAAGGCCAACATTCTTGGTTGCAACGACCCCCCTGCAACAAGTTCTTCACTTTTTGGGGGTAGTGGGCATTACGCGCCGCTTGGGGGGGTGTCAACATGTACAGCGCATCACATCTGCGTACGAAGATTGCTTTGACGGCAGAGGGCCTCGTCAGTGAGGAGGATCTCTTCAATCTTCTCTTTCACAATTGTGCGGACCTGCCGAGTCAGCTGCGTCTGGCTTGGTTGCCTGCTGGCATTCAATCAAACTCATTGAGGACTAAGGTCGCCTGCAAAAAGGAGTGACTTGAAGCAGGCGGCGATAATGCAGTATGATTGCTGAGGGAAACGCACGGGTGTCCCATGTTCTAGTTCCTGGACTTAACTAGGCTCTTGCACCGCACTTGCGCGGCACTTGCGCGCTTCTGCGCACAAATGCATGAAACTGCAAACAGTTTTTTGCAGGGCTTGTTTATGCGATTTCTTCGTCTGTGTCATTTGCTGCTACGGGGAAGCCATTGCGGGGCTTGCATTTGCACAAGCATCTGGATGGCAATGGAGCAGGGGCCAAAGACAAGTATTCAAGACTCATAGCAAAGCGCAAATTCTGTCCCGAGTTGCTTGCTCACGGGGCAGTAGTTGGATTTCCAAACAGCGCGCCCCTTGGCACTCCTTTGCTTTTATAAAATTTACCTAATGCCACAGAGTCACAGTGTCAATCTTCTCTGTTGCGGTAGGCGGCGGAGCTGAAAGAGGAGCTGTCGTCAGAGTCCAACAGTTGAAACTGGTTGGGCGACGCTGCTTTCATTTGGCTCCGGCTCCATTCCTGGATCATCAACAGCTCCCAGAAGTCAAACAATAGTGGCATTCCAGGAAGACTTGGCAAGGTGCACCAATCAAGCGCTTGCCACGTTCCAGCGGCACTTCCGCAACACAGCCGACCCAACCCAGTGTGTCATGCTGGCCTGCGATTGTCAAAGGAGCTTTTGTGCGATCCGGCCTACACCAAATCATATACCAGACCACGCGTTTTCTTTCCTTGCGCCGCCGTGTACGTCCGGCGCGCGCAGATTCCCACATCTAATCACCCAAACCGGAAGAAGGAGATCTTACGTACGGCGCGAAACTCCGCATGCCGCATCGCTTCATTGGCGAAGCTTGAGTGGCTTCCACGCACTCAGGTGCCAAGCCCGCGCGCCGCGCGCCGTGTGCGAGCGATGCGAGCGATGCGCCAAGCGCGTGCCGCGCCTTCTTGGGGATGGGCTCATCCAGCACCGCCTGGCCGTAGCCTCGGGCGCAGCGAGGCGCTCAGGTCGTCAGCTCGTCAGCTCGGCGGAGCTGAGGCCCGGGACCCTCAGAGTGCACCAGGCTGACCAGGATGGGGATGATGTCGCCATCCAATTCCTTGGACCGGAGGGGCGTTTTTGTTTTTTTGTTTTCTTCTCCTTTGTTTCTCTTGCTGGGGCAGGAAGGCGCGGGTCAGCGCCTTTAAGGAGACTTGGCAATTGAAAGGAGAAAGGGGAAGCATGGAGAAACACATTCCTGTGGCCTGGTGGGGCTCAAGCGCCAGGTGCCATGTCATCAAGCAAAACACACGTCGCAGAAAAACAAATTTGGTTCTGAGACTTTGCATTGGCAGGGCCTCTTGTTGCCAGCTGGTTGAACTCCTGTCAAGGGAGCGCTGCAGTGCGGACCGAGCGGCCAAAAAGCCCTTGGTAAAGGCAGCTGCCGTGATGAGGCAGCGCCCCTCTTGAGAGGAGTAGATCCTTGGGTGCAGAATCTGCCACTCCCATGATTCCCGAGCAGTGTACACGTGCGCTTCACCAGGCTGCCAAGTCACAGTAAAACCTATGCGTTTGAAAGGTAGGCCAGCTACCCTCCCACCAATTGACATGGAACTTGACAGGGGGTCCTGGAAGACCTTTGTCCTTTTAAAGGGACCCCTTTCAGGTTCCATGCTAATTGGCAGGAGGGTAAATGAGCTTGCTTCAGCTTAATATGATATCTGGACTTGCCGGCAAGTCTGCGTATGCTTGGACGTGCACTGGTGTGGACGCATTATTCTTTAGGCCAAAGCTTCAGTTTTCTAAACGAGCAAACGGCTTCTCGACATGGATGTTTACATTTGGGTCAGCATGCGGGTGAGGCTGGATCATTCTTTGAGAGCTAGCAAGCTACTTCCCCCCGGTAATCCTTATGCACCTGTCACAGGTGCACGGCGATGCAAGTTCGTTAGTACCATCACCCTGGCTCCGGACAAAACGAGCCCTCCACTGACCTGGTACGATATTGCATGGGACGGCAATGCGGCGCTGCGAGGCACCATGAGTTGACGCCTTGTGCCCTTGTGTCAAGATGTGCCAAGCCTTGCTTGTACTCAGACTTTCATGGGCATAGAGGGTTGCCATGGGTTTGGCTCAAACAGACCCGCCGGTTGAAAAGGATTCCCTTTTATCGCTAGAGGCGCATCAAATCAGTTAGTTTCACCATGTCTCGATGTCCACGTGCAAACAAGAGGCTTGAAGTCGTGTCGGAAGGAGGAATGCAGCCGCAAGAGCCCGGCCGGATCCTCGAAGTAAAGCTGCTCACCTCGGAGGAATTGCCAAATTGCGGACAAACACAAGCACTCAAAACATATCAATCTCATTCAATCTCTCTATTTCTCTCTCTCTCTCTCTGCCGTTGCGTCCAGAGGGTCTTGACTCAGCAAGGCAACGAAAAAAGGTGCCCACTGATATTAATATGGGTGTGAATTTGAATTAGGGGCCCTTTGGACCCCAATTCACCAAACACTTTCCGGGGGTTTCCCCGGTTCCCCAACACAACTCCCCACCATATAAGCCTATGTATCCTTTGAGGATTCCCTGTTACACACGTGCTGAGTAATACTTATCTATCCCACGCCCAAAGTGACTCACGGTGTCCCTTGGGCTTCCCTGCGGAGACTCTGTCCCAGCAGCTCGGCACGCTGCAGGCCA